TAGAACAATCAAGTATTTCTTTCGAATTAAAAAATTAATTAAGTTTTCGATTTAAATGAAATCTATTTCAGACTGACTGAAGTAAAGCATGGAAGATCTCTAAAAATATATCATTCAAAACAATTATACAATTCAAGGCAACATAAAAAGAAATGACTGAAATAGACTGACTGTACATATGGATAAATAGGCGGATTATGTTATAAAAGATATGTAATGCAAAACTGACATTTACGTCAGATTATGACATAAGATTATTGTCAACATTTACATGACATCGACAGCAATTCAAATTAGAGTTACTTTCGATGCACAATTGTCAGCTGTCAATTATGTTTTTTTTAACGAAACTGATAAACTGGTTAACAATCGCGTACATAGATTCTTGTATACAAAAATCAAACATGAAAAATTCAATTAAAATTGTATGAATAAATAAGCGAAAAAGAATCAAATTAACATGCAAATCACGCAATATCACGCAGAAAGATTTTAGTAAAAATCCTTTGCAATGTAAATTTTTATATTTCTAAAGTAAATAAAATAGATAATATTTTGTTGGTTTAAAGTAATCGATTAATTTTTTAAATTTTGCGAGAAATTAGAAATTTCTAAGTTTGAAAATGAGACTGAAATTCTGAATTTATTTGGTTCTTTGGAGAAATTCTAATTTATTTATGTACTTACAGAACTTGTTCAATTTCGCTTGTATGACTTTGCCGTAATTTAATCACAAGCACTCTTATAATATTCAGCAAGAATAAAAAGTTGAGCTGAAAGAAAATAATGAGAAGAAATACATGAGCTAGAACTTATTCACAATTTTAAATTGATTATTAGATATAATGTAAACTGTATTTTTCCATCGCCTGATAGCATGTTTCTTTCAAGGAATGAATTACATACGTTATAATTTTATTAAACGAGAAAAAAATTGTTAATACAATAACAAATAGTTGCAATTATCTATGAATTCATAACTCCATGAATGTTTTTATATATCTACATAATTATCACACATATTATAGAATCGATCACACTTATTTTAAATTACATTTTATATATATATATATATATTATATATTGTATATATAATATAACTTAAACGAGTTTGATTGATTCTTTTTTCCTTAACCGATTATTAAAAATTCGTTATGATTTGCTCACCAAGATCACTGCGAATCTAGGTCCTTCGAGAATCCAAAAGTAAGATGATAAATTGTACCCCGACCAACATCTAGGAAATCTAATATTTCAAAATTCATAATTTAATATTTATAAATACAAATTTCAACTTTTGCTTTAAGTCTTCTTCAGTAAATCTAAATGTAAATTTTGTGCTTATGTTTTACGACTGTAATATATTATTAATATTTTGCAATTGTATATCCATATTGTGACCAACAAGTCAAACGTTAATATCCAAATAAAAGTTATAAAAAATATTTAAGCAAATCCCAGTATTTAAGCAAATAATCTGCAACTTACTTTGATTTCGGATGATAATAAAATGCCATAACAATGGCCCAAGCCGAGGTCATCAGTACTGGACATCCCCATCCAATGAATCGATACATCCGATAATAAGACGTTTCTTGAAAAACCGTCACTGTAAAATTATAATCAAAATGCGAAATTATAATCATTAAATTAAACAACAAGTGAAAATCATTAAATTAAAATTTGAATTAAAATATTTTTTTAAAGCTGATTAATCTGTCAATGATAGAAAAAAATCAGATCATATTAAACAGTCTTTTGTATAGGATAAGAATTGTTTAAAATATGATTTAGATATTAAACGCGTGTAGCAATATTTATTGTGATTATTGTGGTATAAGTATACTTATATATGGACAAAATAAAATACACACTTTGAACATTTTCACATTTATGTAAATAATTCGGATAAGAAAAGATTTCTTACCCGATTTATTGTTATGCCAGAACTAACGAGTTATTTACTACTTTATAATTACGATTACGCAAAAATTCTAGAAATACTCGCTTTCTACATATCATCATTCTAATTATTTATTAATGTGGCTTTCATGCGCGACGTACATAAAGCCGTGTCACATTCCTGAATACGTACCAGTCACCATGTTGTGCAAAAACAGACCCTCTATGAACATCCACATAAACATCGCAGTCTTGACGTATTCCAGTAATACGTAACTGGCCTCACACAATACCGGCTGTAAAAGAGGTAAAAAGTATATCTCGTTTTATGGGTTTACATGTAAATGTAAATAATGCAATTTCTCTACAAGCAAAAAAAGTGATGTCTGAACACGACATTTGAATTTATAATGAGATCTATATATATAGATTTTATATATATATATATATATATGTATAAAATCCAAATTTCTATAAAATCTCTAGCTCGTTTCCGGGCTTCGCGGAGAGACTTTATTTGCATTAAAATATAGATTTTACTAAAATCGCTCTCATCTCGTAATTATATTAGGAAATAATACGCGATAAAAATAAAAAAAATGGAATCGCAAAAATAAATAATAACATTAAATCTCCGTGAAAAAGAATAAGGAAATAATCTTTCGCCTTGTGCTTCAGTTATAAAAGTAAAATAATCTCATTGTATCTTACGGTATTTCCTATTCCTCGTTGTATGCCGTGCGATTTCCCACGATAGATCGCGATGTCTATGTACAACATTAATCTGATCAGCACTTGCACGATCATGGCGACAAAGAGATTCTTGTGAATTCTGGTCCTCGTGTTTCGCAACGATCTAGAAAATTAGACGTAAAGACCGTTTAGCATTAATTTTAATCGTTTAACTACTTTAGATGTAAATTTATGCAAAGTGACAGCGACTCTACAGGAATAGTTATACGCCGGACGTAACTTTACGCAATTATTTTTTATTAAATCAATGACTTCTAAAAGTAATTATTCATTAAATATTAGATATATAATACACAAATAACTGTATGGTTATTGAGAAATCTCTTTTTGTTAAGAATACTGATTGATTTTTTTCGATACTTTTTTATTACAATTTTATTTTTAAGTCTTTTTATAATTCTTTCCGCAATTAGAAAGAAACTTCTTTAAAATCTTAGAAGAAATCTTAGAAGAAATAGATAAAATAAAACTTTCTCGCAAATTCTCTTATAAGATTCTGTAATACTGAAAACCGAATTAAAAATTAAGTTACTTTTTAATTGCAAGTTTTATGGAGTTTAAAGGAGCTTAAAGGAACTAACCACTGTTTGTCACTTGAACCAAGTTTCTTCACACAAATAAAATACTCGAAATCACTTTTTGAAATTTTTTACTCACCTAAATCGACAGAAAATCACCAGAGAAGCAAGCAAAGCCACCAGAGATATACTGAGACCGACAAATTCAAGAGTGCGCGTCTTCTCGGCTATTTCCATTTTCATCTGGAAAAAGAGAACAAAGTAGTCGATTGTAATGAAATTTTATACTCCGATGTAATGAAAACATATTTGTGATGTATTTCTTTATAGAGAAAACTTCACAGAAATTTTTTTGTACAACATGCGACTTATATTACATATTTATACAAATAGATAGAAAAAACTTTTCTAACTTTTTTTAACTATAATTCTTAACAATACAGAAAGAACAATTTGTCAATTATTATTTTACATAGCAAATAAATATATTTTTTTATATTTGTCAAATTTTCTTTAATTAATCGGTCAACATATTTTTAATTTTATTAATTAATAACTCCATCCATCCATATAATTTTTCAAACATCTATAAATCTATATTTATAATGAAATTCTAATATTTGATAATATTCAATTATCAATATTTATAATGTATACAGCGTAGGGTTGTAAAGAAAAATAAAATTTACCATAATTTTTTTCCAGTATTTATAAAAGTCATTTCAAAAGACGAAAAAATTAATAATATCAATCCTAGATGCGAATAAACGACAGTTAGAATAAATACACAAAGGTATAAAATCAAAATATTGTAAATAAAACATAGAGCGTATATGAAGATATGGTGAGGTATAAATAACATGATAGCGAAAATATTCATATGTTCAGAAAGAACGATAACAGTACAAAATAGTTGCATAAAAACACGTATTTCAAATAAAAAAAAAACTGAATAAGTAAGAGATCAGGAAGAGGGAGCGAAAGATTAAAAAGCAAATTAACGAGATGTATAGCCGCAATTTTTATCATCGTAGCATTCACAAAGATTACAGTTTGTCCAAACAATACACAGAAACAATAGGAGTATCTATTGTAAAATAAAAAAAAACAATGAACATGTTAAAAACGTTTTACTGCTTCTTTTGTACGTTGTTTATTTAAAATTTTGTGGCGCCAACTTGATATAAATTTGGTTTATCAGCTTTTGATCTATTATGTTAAAATATTAAATAAAATATTAATTATACTATAAAATCCATTTTATAATGTGCTCTTTATTTCCTGTCTCTTGCTTTTTTCCCTTTTGCAACCGTTTTATCGACAATTTAATTTGTTGCTACGTGTTTCCTGTTTCTTCCGAAGTTCGTTAACTTTATTCTATCTCGGGTATACTTTACTCTATCTCGCAACATAAAGCCGGGTAAGAAACAAAAAAACAAGATGTAAAAAATAGCAAAAGTAAGAAACAAAAAATAAAAAACACATTGTAGAATAATAACCATTAAACGGCTTTAAAATAAAACGCAAAAATGGAACATAGAAATACCTAAAATGATAGATGCGTTAGAAGTGTTTTATCATACTACTTCAATTTTGTATGTAATGTTTATTTTATATGTAAATGTTGATTTATTTTACTTTTTAGTCACGTTAAAACATTAAATGAAACGTCAGTTATAAAGCTTTCAAATATAAAAAGTTAAATTTAATTGTAATCTTAGTTAATTCTTAAAAATTATATTAAATAATAATTAAGAAGATCATGTTTACAATTAAATAAATAAAAGTTTTTTTATGTTTAAAGAAAAAAATTATTTTTATAAAATATTCAATTTTATTTATATTTTAATAAATAAAGTAAATTAACAATTTTAAAATTTGAATTAATTAATTATGATTAAAGAATGAATTTTTATTTGTGCTATATATCGAAATCGATTAAGAATAGTAATTAATTGTCATGTTCTTTTATTTAAAAATTATTACTATTATTTTTTAATCCTTTAATATTCTGAAATTGAAAAAAAACTTGTTGCTTTTTCAAATTTCTGCACATGTCATGTTTTCGAAGTATCTTACGTCGAGTTTGTAATTTAATTGGAAAACTAATTTTTAGAGATACAACATATAATTTTTATACATGTAATTTAATGTATATATAATTATACATATAACCATTTTTAACTCGATTTAAACTATTTAGATTTGTTACATTGCAATTCCTTAAATGCACAATATTGTCATTATTTTTGACAGGTGTATCAAAATATTCAAAACATGAAATTTACCTCGCCCTCGACATTATTATTGTAGACTCTGTAGTGTAGCCGTAGCATTTCTGGTGTTAAGCAGGTAGTGTAATTCGCCCAACCAATGAACACTTTCTCGTTCATGTTTGTGCCATTTTGTGTCTCCCACCGTCCATTGTATCCGCATTTCTTCTCTACGGATTCTGGAAAAATATGCGAGATTCAAGAGGATATGAAAATCCAATGACATCACTAGAAATATTTCAGTTGCATCTTCATTTGATCTACATTTTTATTCAGTCATTATTTCTCTTACTACTTTTATTAGATTATAATAATATTAAATAAGCGTGCGTTTAAATGTGCAATAATACATAAATTATTCAAAAAATAAGTTGATGTTATTTGCTATTATAAGATATCAAAAATTATCGGTCAATTTTTTGAGTTTATAAACTCACTATTTTAGAATATATTTCCAATGTTTCCCTATTTCTTCAATAAGAACATACCTTTATAGAGACGTTTTACTTTAAAAAAAAAAGGAATTAATTAATAATTAAAAAGGAATCTTATCATTATAAAACGCATTTTTAACAGACGTTTCATACGTGATAAAAATATTATGACATACAATCTATGATTTTACGCTGAAAGTGATATCTCTTCTATACATAACAGAATTTCATCATATTTTATGTTAAATATAATACGAGATTCTGTTACATATTGAATTAAAAATCAAGCTTTTATTCAAGAAATTTTCATATTGAAGCGTGCTGTAATGTGAACAAAAAGAATGATGCATTCAATGGATATTCCACGAGATTAAAGGAAACAGGAAGAAGACGACATCATGTAGTCCTCTTTTATCTTAAAGATTTCTTAAAGCTTGGAAAATTGAAGGGTAGTCCATGACTGCGCTTTCCACACTATTCAACATATGTTGCACATATACATACAACATATAGTATAAGAGACGAATAATGGCGCTATTTGAGAATCCTTTGCCAATGATTAAACACCTCTAATTGCATCCGTTATGAACGCTAAGATTTTATCTTGTATAAAAGAATTTCTTTAAAAGAGTTTCTTTCATATTTTTATCTTTATATAGATTTATATATTACCTTAAAAATTTTCGATTGAATTTTAAAATCAAAAGAGTGCTAATTAAATACAAGTATTTATACAAGTATAATGGTTTTCTTCCATCTTTTATTATTCTGTCTTTTTAAAAAAAAAAAGATGATAAAAATGTTAATAATAGACGTTATGAGATATCTAATAAATAAAAAATTATGCGCCTTAAATTTCTCGATCTTTAAATTAACCGTTAAGGAAAATGTTTAATAATGGCATATCTTAATTTCAGATAATTTATTTTCAGATAAATTATTTATTTTTTTAAATAAATAATAAATTATATATATACTTGTAACATTTTCTATTAATTAATTTTGATATAAAACGAATTTAATTTAAAAACATTTTTCTCGGGTAACTTTTAGTACACACGATTAATTGGTTTCTTTTCTTGGAAATACCAGGAACAGGAAATAATTAGTTATAATATTTGTATACAATTTTTTTAAATACAATCTTACGAATATTTTCAAAATATGTTAAAGTATAATGTAAAAATCATTTAATAATTTTTATATGCTTGTAAAGTAAATTAATCCAGTTAATTCATTGTGTATAATAAAGGATAGGAAAATTATTGTCTAAAAATTAATTATGAAATGTTTAATTTGTGTAAAATCTGTCCTTCTTTCTCTCTTAACTACATAATTTGTGCTACATAAAGTTCTGTTCAAACATTAATTGTTGTTAAAATAAAAACATTTAATATATACAATCCATTACATTAAATAAATAAAGATAGATTTTCTCATAGTTTCTGTTACTGTAATTTTACAATTATTAAAAATAAAATATTTCTATTCATGAAACCATCGATTATTTTTTTCATAAATAATGAATGAAAGTATTTTAATTTATTATATGTATATATAGATACAAACGCTTTAATTCGTCATTTCAGAAATTCAAAAGTGCGCTGAAGGTCATTATTTTTACCTTTTTGCTCTGCTTGGTTTCTTAAAGACGATGTATGACAATAAAACATCTATAACGAATTCATTCATTTGCACTACACTAAATTAGTATTTAGTGGATACTAAAAATTGCTATGCATTAATTAGCAATGTTAAATGTAAAAGTATATAAATATTTTGAACAAGTAAATACTAGTAAATACAAGTAAATAATACAAGTAAATACAAGTAAATAATAATATCAACAAAATACATTATTTTATTGTCAAAGATTATTATATTATCCCACTTCATTTAGATAAATTATGTAAAGTAATTTTTTAAAAATAATGTTATAAAGAAAAGGTGATAATACAGCAACATTTAAAAACTTCATTTCACGACGCATTTGCAGTTCGCGATGCTACTGAATACGATTAAAGTACTTCAGGAAAAATATATCAGGGGCGGACAAATCTCTTTGTATTTATTATCGCGTCGCTGCGAAGAACTTCTGTTCAATCATATTCAATACTAAATATTTCGAATAAAAATCGAGAATTTATTTTCAATGAATAATTACTTCCGTCTTGATTTAAATTTTCGATAAAACAAATTGTTGAAAATTCTCGAAGTATTTTCGATACACATATTTTTCAATATAACTCAATATTTTCGAATAATTAGTAATGTGCGAAGGCCTTCAAGAAGTTTCTCGTCTTCAAAGAATTGCGTTGTTTTGGACACGAATGCATCTGCAACATCTCTCTCATTACTGCATTATCGCTCTTAAAAATTCATTTTATCCACTAGAAAACGCGATTGCATTGTATAGTGAAAAATGTGACTTTTTATCACAATTTTACTTGAAATTAATAATACCTATCGCAATAAGATCTATAATACATAATTGCGACGATATAAAATTCTTATGTACAGTGTATAATCATATAACTTCTTCCCTAAAGCGGAAACATAAAAAGTAAAAGATTTCTTCAAATTAATTCAATTTTTAAATTGAAGTAAAAAATTGAATTAATTTAAAATATTGACACTTCTCGCTACTTAAATTACAGTGATACATTAATAAATGATGCGATTTGCATCATTTATTAATGTATCACTGAGAGAAAAATGTTTAATATTATTACTATAATGATAATAATAATAATTGTATGTATCGTTATATCAACAAATATATACAATTGGCAACTTTAAAAAGATTGTAACTATAGTAACTGTAAATATATATAGTAATTGCAATCATTTTAATAACAATTATAATTGTAATTTTTTACTAACTATATATATATTTGTTAATGGAACTATATAGTTCTTATTACTAACATTATTATAGTAATTGTTATAATTATGATAACATATAAGAATAGTCACAAATTCTAAAAATATTTCTTTCAGTGTGTACCTTTGATTTTCAATTTCAACAATTTTATCGTATATTTTATTTGTAAATTAATTAAAAGATTGTTTAGTTTATTTTTCACAAATAATATAATTAATTTGGGATTAAATTATAAAATAGAAATAAAACATGGAATACATGATTTTATTCATGGCATTTTTATTTTTATATAAAATATTGTTGTATAATAAAAAAAATTTGATAATATCATTTCCAACATAATTTCAAAATTATGATTAAAATTTGTCCGTCTGTGTGAAATATTTGTGAAAACATGTTTAAACTCGTCTTGTTCTTATACATTAAAGAGGAAGTATTGTGACGTATTCTTATCCTCAATTCTTTCTATGAAATTTTTTTTTCCAAACAATATAATTTACAATACTTCTATAATTAAATCTGCAAATTACGCATACGAACAGCTAGATAATGCAAACTCTTATAATCTTTTAAACATAAGTACTTACTAGATCTTTGAAAATAAGCTTATTTGTTAATGATTTATTAAAAAATTGTCTAATTTTCTGTCTGATTCTTTTTAATTAATATTCACTGATAATATCCAATATTAATATCTGATATTTGGCATGGAAAAATAATACATACATATATATATATATATATATATATAAATTTTTAAATATATAAAAAATTAATTTACAATAACTAAAATAATCAAGT